TCCCTTCTGTAGAGAGCACTCGCGGGACAGCCTCTGCTCCGCGCGCTCCTTGGAAGCTTGAGCCAGGAAGCAGAGAGCAGCGGCAATGGATATACAGGAAGGCAAAAGGCACTCTTGGCCTTTTTTATTCCTCTTCTGAGTGCCAGTGCTCCTTTCTGCAGTGAAGCACAAGTGATGCCAGGGAAGCACGTTGCCTCTTGTCTTCTCTCAGCCTCGGCAGCGTTTTGCCTGTTTGGCACCTTGCAAGCAAGGGTGATGTTACCAAAGCTGCTAATTCCGTGCCCCCAGCAGCAGAAGATGCAGTGGCCTCCTAACCCTGGTCCTCTGATCATGACACACTTACAGCAGAGATTGACTAAAGCAGCTTCTCAACACCATGTAGTTCATTAAATGAACATCAAGGCTTAAAAGAAAAATTGGTATTATGAGACATCTACAAGCTGTTACCAAAAAACCAGGTGTTTTAAGGAGTAGATAGGCTCTTGTCTGAGCAGCAAAATTTTGGCCAAAGACACTAAAATAGCCCCAGTTAAATCAGATGTCTTTAGGATGCCACTGCCAAGTCCTCGTAAGTAACAGAAAAGAATTTCACGACTTGGTGCAATGTAACCATGTAAGGGCAACTCTGTCCATCTTGTACAGTACAAGTACAGTTCATTCCCTTTCATGGCTCTAGAAGATCTGAACTATTCCTGTCCCAGGAAAACAAAGAACATTTTAGATCACAATACCAGAAAATGAATCTCAAAATTGATTTTTAAAGGGACCCATATCCTCCCTTGTTAGGATTCTGCAGAAATTTTTATAAGACCTTATGTGCTATGCAGTCTCGCTGGTGAAGACGGTGTGAACTTCAGGAAGCCTTTAGCACAGCCCTAATCCCTTTCCAGCTGAACTAGGTTTTAGGACACAGCACCATAACATTCCATAAGCCTATTTTGACCAGAAATTAATGCAAAAGTAATTTGTTTAAATTTTTAAAAATTCTGAAAAACAAATGGCAACAAACAGCATTAGAAAGCAATGTTTTAAATTACAACATAATTCTTAAATACTTAATCAAATCAGAAGTGTAAATTTGGTATGGTTGTATGCTAACGGAGTTTTATTGCTTAAAAAGACATCTGAGAGACCTCAAGTTCATCTTGAGCTTTTAAGCTGTCAGTTCACTTTGCCTTATGGAGGAATTCCACTGAAATCCACATGGATGAACAGAGTCCCAGGGGATTAGAAGCAAGTCAACGATATTTAAACTCTTTGGTAAACTAGGCATTTATCAGCAGTAAACAGTTACTGGTTTTATTTAAAGTTCTACCCTAATCCCAGGCAGAAGCAGCTAATTTAAGATATGTCAGAAAGAAACATCAAGTCCAATTAAAACTTATCTCCTTTTACTGTGTACAATGGAAAGTAATGAGGATTGGACATAAGCCAAGCCAAAATCTCTCCAGTTTGGAGACTGTATTTGTCTTTCCAGTAAGTGTTTTCACAGATTTATCTGCTGGAAAAATGAATTATTTCCAGAAGAATCACAACTAACAGTCATTCCCCCCCGCCTCTTTTTTTTAATGCATCCTTCATGGTTGACTTAGATGTCAGAAGAAAATAGCTCAAAAATAAAGTGTGGGTTCATTTGTTTTTTCTGCTTGTGGTATTTAAAAGGCCTCTCATTTGTGTGCTTTCTGTATTAAGTTCAACAATAAATTCAACATGAAGGGTTTTTTTGGGTGTTTTTAGCCAAGTTCCCCCTTACTTGAAACATCCCGGAATTTATCTTTTGGAAGTTCTATCAGCTTGGAGGAGGACTAGTAAATTCAAGTGTTATCAGTGGGAAGACAGAAAGTGCAACCAAAGATGTTTTAGTTTATAGCTATGCTAAAAAGGGCTACTAGCCTGTTGATTTCAGTCTTCTCTGCTGAAACTGCTCCTGAAACAAAGGTTTAGTTACATACTTCATTATATCTATAACGTGCCTTACACTTGAAATCCTAATTCACTTTATGATTTGAAAAAAACCCTGATTTAAATTAAGAAAACACACCACACTGCAACTACACATTAACACGGCCCAATTTGCTCTGCTTAGATTCAAGAGATATCCATGGTGTCAAGACAGGATCTTCCAAAGAAATATGCTGCATTTTGACATGTCTGAGAAGAAAGAAAAATACAGATAAGGAGGAAGATACTACACTTGGCGTCGTGGTTTAACCCCAGGCAGCAACTAAGCGCCATGCGGCCGCTCGCTCACCCTCCCCCCCGGTGGGATGGGGGAAGAGAATTGGAAAAAAAAGTAAAACCTGTGGGTTGAGATAAAGGCAGTTTAATAAGACAGCAGAGGAAGAGAAAATAATAATAATGATAAAAAAATATGCAAAACAAGTGATGCACAATGCAACTGCTCACCACCCGCTGACTGATGCCCAGCCCGTCCCTGAGCAGCGATCGCTGCCCCCTGGCCAACTCCCCCAGTTTCTATACTGAGCACAACGCCGTATGGTATGGAATGGCCCTCGGGGCAGCTCTCCTGGCCGCGCCCCCTCCCAGCTTCTTGTGCACCTGGCAGAGCATGGGGAGCTGGAAAGCCCTTGACTGGTGTAGGCACCACTTAGCAACAACTAAAACATCAGCGTGTTATCAGCATTATTCTCATACTAAACCCAACACAGCACTGTGCCAGCTACAAGGAAGAAAATTAACTCCATCCCAGCTGAAACCAGGACACTCGGGCAGTTCAGCCATCCTCCTCCTTAGTTCAGAGGCGATAGCATCCCCACTGCAGGCTCTCCTGAGAGAAGCCTGAGGCTTAACTTTCCCACACCCACAGGCATCCACAGCAACTTGCAAACAAATCTGAAATAAGCCACATGGTCACCAGCTCTACATGGAGACAGCTTACAGCATAAAGAGGATAGCATCACCAAAACAGTTTCTAGCACTTAAGAAAACTTTGAGAAAGGGCCTACGCAGAGATTGGAGTTAGGACAACTGCAAACGTTGTCCTAGGGATGATCACACAGGAGCGAACACAGTGTAATCTGGACATAACCTCTCAGTAATTCTTGAGAACGCGCAGATCAGAACATACGATCTGAAGGACAGCCTGCGTATAGTTGTAGGTGTTATGAAATTGGTAAAATGCGGCTCACAGTGGAAGTTTTCAATACTAGTCATACCATGGCATATTTTAAAACTACCAAAACCACAGATGACATTCTATTTAAGTAATAAACACCAACTGACAAATAAACCTGCTGTGTGCAAACAAAATCTACCAACACAAACGCAGCACCTGGAAGAAAGGGTATAGCCTTTTCTTGTATCCCTCCTGCAAGACAAAAATCTGAGAGACATTATATCACTAGAAAAGAGACCGTACTTTTAAGTCCTTGTGGAATTATAGCCAAAGTAAATCAGAAATCTCTTTTCCCAACAGAGGTGCCAATGATTTTAACTAGATGCTTTAAGACACCAAAGCATAAAGTGTCTGCTCTTCTCTGAGCACCTGATACCCATATCTTAGTGCCAGCAGTTGCTTCTACTGCAATTCTGTCTCTCAAATTCTGTAGACAGTATAAGAAAATAAAGATTGCAAAGAGCTTTTGCAATTTAATACAGTGCTGAACACTGTTAAGACATAACAAAGTTGTAATACTGCTGAAAGCACTGTGGCCCGCTAGAATGACACGCGAGATCCCAAACGTTCAGCAGCACAGCTATAGCACCTTGAGCATAGCACTTTCCAAATGCAATACCAAGCTCAATGTGAAGAGCTGATCAAAGAAAAAAAAAAGAAAACCAAAACACGATGAAACAATTTCTGGTGTGTTTTGGCACACAAAGCAGAAGCAAGTTCAGAGGTACCAGAATACAGTACTGCAAGGTCAGGATGACTGTGGATCTCTTCAACACCTGACAGTACATCTATGATCTCAGCCCTGCAGGATAACCAACCTTATTTCTAATCCACCATCTGAAGTTAATGTCTGACAGTAGCTTGGCAAAGCTTGTGGTTTGAGTATCAGTGTAGTCTGAGCCCACAAATAATATTTTTCTTTCACAATAACTACTTCAGAAGCTTTACATTATCAGAAAACCAACCAGTTCAAATTAAAACTAAACACCTGAAGTTTAACACGTAAAACCTTGAAGCAACTCTTTCAAACTACGTCACAAAAACTTGTGTGTGTGACATCAGAAGCACGAAGTGCTGGAAATCAGCTGGAGACAGGGAACTGACAGATAAGAGAGGCAATGTCAGCAGATGTAGTGTCATTCAAACTGCTTGCATCCTCCCTCAATTCTGCTAGTAAGATAGCTAAAAAAATAACACATCAGCAGGTAGAAAGTCTATCTAGCCCTTAAAGGGCTATTAAATAATTCATTAAAATATTGCCAAATATTCAGAGTTATTTCTCCTTAATTTCCCTCCTTGTCAGCATTAAGGTCTTACATAAGAGTAAAAATGTAAAATTTTTAAGTCTGTCACATGGCAGTCAATCTGCTAGCATGCCAAGAAGTATTTCTGGAAGACATTTTTCCATGAATTCCAGTTTTAATAATTCACCTAAAGAATGTGTGTCAATAGCAGAATAAATATGGTGAGCCTCTATCAGCAGAAAACCCACTAAACTTTGATATCATAACCAAAAGAATTGCCTTCGTTTTCCCAGTGAAAAAGCAGCAAGCTGAATTAGGTTGCTACATTGCAAAATGGTCCATTACAGATCAAAAAAGCAGTTGAGCTACAGTTGCGAAACTTATTAAACCTGGAAAAGAGAGATGATAGTGAAACAAAGAGTGAAGTTGAAATTCTTGATTTTTCAACTCTGGCACCGCTTTACAAGCTGATTTGTTTTAAGAACTCAGAATCAGAATCTGTGTATCTTTTGAAGACACACATTTCTAACTCTTTTAAGACTAGCTATAATAAATTCACTGATGTTTATGACTTGAACAAAAGACATAGCACAATATAGGTTTGAACTGTTTATTTTACATCAGATGTTCCATACCAGAGTTTCTTCAGTTAGAAGTTCCTAGAAGAAAATGAAACAAACATTGTTACAAACCAGTTTGCTTCAACAGCTCAAGTAAATATTTTTGACCAACTGTGTAATCATCCTATAAATACAGTGTATACGTTTTCACCCTAAAGGTTGGATTTGGGAATGGAAGTTACCCCTGCAAGAGTTAGAGGATAAGATAAACATAGATACGTACTTGGAAACAATTCCATCATTTTTTGCCAGACGCAGAATGGAGTCATCTGATTCACCCTTTAAACAAATAAAAGATGATTCTGAAGTGACCAAATAATTGCTGATACACATTAAAAAGAGAGGCATCTGCAGCATTTAATGCCGGTAATGAAATGCACAATGCCTTCTGCAGATCACTACATTTTACATGCACAGATTAGCGTTTTCAAAACAAGCTGTTAAATTATTTGTCATCCTTTAAAATAAGAAATAGTTTTAACTTCATTAAAATATACACTTGCATTAACAAGATATATTTCTGGGTAAGCAGACTTCTGATGAACCCTACGAAGCTTCACACCACGTTTAACAAATTTAAGTCATGGCAGCAGCATCTCTAATAATTATAAACAACAGATAAAAGCCAGGTATTAGTAGCTTAGTATGTTCTTAAAAGAAAAAAAAAATCCACTTGCATCCTTCAGTGATTTTAAAAAAAAAATAAGCATACATAATTCTACAAACCAAAGGACCGAGGAAAAAAAACCCAAAAGAAACAGATTCTTGCAAGTGAATTTGTTCACGTCTTCACTCTGTCTTCATTATCTCCACAAAAGCTCTTCTTCTAGAATGAGCTGAAGGCACACTGTGTTTTCAAGGCCAAACATAAATCTAAAAAATTACTAATCAATATAAAAAGAAGCACAATCATTTTGTAGCTCAAGAAAATACTTACCATTCTACGAATTGCTCCACAAATGGCATACGTTTTGAACTGGCCATTTACTCTGCCTGTTACCTTGTCAACCTGTAATTAAAAGTAAGTTAATCCACACAGATTCTTATAAAATTTTATGCTCTTACATCACACTTGCCAAGCACTCAAAGATAAAGATTACTTGTTAAATTTTGCAAATATTTTTCTGCAAACTACAAAAACCCAAGGCAAATACTGAAGTTAGAAAGACTACAATATAGAATATCTTTTCACTGCAAATTTGTAGTTAATTACACAGTGCAGCTATGAAATTCACAAGGCTAACAAGAACACAACACAAAATGGTAGCTAGAAGAAGAAAATGCTTGAGTTTGAAAAATAATGGAAAAGTTAAATGTAAAGTTTACTTGGGGATTTTACTGCCTTTGTTATTTTTTTCATGTTTTTTTTTAATTAAGGTCATTATTATGGAAAATTGAAGTGAAGGGGGGGAAGATGGCAGTCTTGTTACACAGGTAGAAAAATGCCCAAGTCAAGACACACAAATTGTCTCACTTCCTCCAGTTAATGAGAAATTTAACAGGAAAAGACTAAACAATATAAATCACAAAATTAAACACTGTAGTGAACCCTGTAATACCATGTGAGTTTGTTTTGGAGTTCTGCTAATCTGATCCTTTCAAAGCAACAAATAGTGATCGCTGAAGGAATGAAACACAGCGAACAAGGAAAGTATTTACGTTAATATCTACAGGAAATCGCAAACAGAGCATTTTTTAAAATTATTTCTTAAGTCAGAGAACACAAGAGACTCGGTTGTTTAAAAATATAAGAATGTAGTCTTGTGGTCTCCCATTCAAGAAGAAATAAATCAAGCTATATAGCTCATAAGCTGTAGGAAAACTGTGCCCGCAGAATTCCTGCAAGGTGAATACCAATAAATAAATGGGGAAGAAAAAAAAAAGCGCGCTAAACAGAGTTTAAATTAACTGGAGCCTGTGTGCATTAACTGGGATCCTGCAGGAGTCAAGGTCTACTGTGGTTTTCTGAGCATATGCATTAAGCTTGGAAGGATTCGCAATAAAGCTATGTTGATAAGATTAAATTAAACTTAGACAAGAACAAATTCCTTACGTTACAGAAAAAAAAAACCCTAAATGTACAATACCAAGTCAATACAAATAACCAGCATGCCTCAGGAAAAAAAGCAGGTAATGCTTAAAGCACTGAGTTAATGAAATGATGACACTGCACACAAAACACACGAGCAACCTCATTTGTCACCTATCAAGAGCAGCAGTGTCAAATATTAATAGAAATGATTCAAGCAAAACACGAAGATGGCGTTTTAGTTAAGCAAAGTAGAAGAGAAACAGAGTTCTGCTCTGGGACCTGTATCTTTCTTAAAGTTTGGACAAACTACAAAAAGCACAGAGAATATCAACAAGAATAAAAAATTAAAAACCAAGGTGCACAAGGACAGACTGAAGAACGGTACATTCTTACAGACAAGCAAAGGTAGAAGGGATAAGAATTGCCCAGAAACAAGCATTTCTTCTTTTTTGCTTCAGGACAAGGAATTCCCTAATTTATATAACTCTAAATTAGATCTAGAGTTAGGAAGTTGTATTTAGTCAAACAGTTAAGCACTGGAACAGCCTATACAGAGCTTTAGGAAATTCCCTCTGGTGAGTATTTTTCCAATAGGCTGAAAAATAACCAGGGGTGACACAGTAACACACTTGCACGTTCGAAAGCCCTCAAGTTCTACACTTACATGGTCTATAGTGAATTATTTGGAGACGCATCACAAGCTCTTGTATTTCTTAACTTCTATCGAAAGTTTGAAGGTGTAGCGCTCTCATCACATACTTCTGTTCTGAAACTTACCTCAGAAATATTTATCTGAATAGAAGCATGATCCTTAGCACCAATTATTCGGTTGCTAGCAGAGCTAAGGAATAAAATAACAAGATATATTTGAACAAAAGGAAAGGGACAGTGACAAGGTCAAAAAAAACTATTAAAGCCAAATCTACATGCAAATTAAAGCTGCACAAAAAGTTTAGACAGTAACAGTTTAAGCTTTCAGTGCTCAGAAAATTAAAATGCAGTTTTAAGTACATCTACAGGAGAGTTTCACGTGGTAGCATCATGTTAAGTTGCCAACTATCCCTTCACTTTTTTTTTTTATTCCTGGTTCACCCCTATACAGTGCACGCAGCAGCACAGGCCTTCAAAACACACAGAATATCAAGATTTTCTTTTCTAAAGTGCAAAAAATACAGCAAAGTAATTAATGAGAATGCAGTTTCTATGCCTTTTTCACTGGGAGCCAGTACAGCTGTCAAAAGATACTCAGGTTGCAAACCCTTAGAAATCACAGGTTGTAAAAAATATTTGACTTAAACCTACTAAAATGCATACAGATGGTTTAATTTTTTAGTGATTTTTTTTTTTTTTTAAAACGAACACATTTACAAAATCTTCTCACTATCCACTTACTATAATTTCAAAATCGCACTTAAGATGTGCTACCAAGGCAACAAGCGATCTCTAAACGGGTTCACTCCGAGAGCTGGCAGCACAGAAACAGGAGCGTACCACAAACGTGCCCCTTTACTTCGGAAATGAACCGTGCGTGAGCTGCGACGGCCGCTGTAGGCTCACAGTTACGCACAGCATCCTCTTCAACTTTAGTCTTTGCTTCGCACGTTTTACAGAAGATTTTTAAAAATACAGAAACAGATAGAAAAGAATATTTTTTATTTTCCCTATAAATATTCGCTACTACAAAAAAAAAACAAACAAACAAAAAAAAAAACCCAAAA